TGTCACACACCATGACCCTCAATCTCCTCCCTCATTCCCTCTCTCTGCTTTCTCCTTCTCCCACCCCCTACCCTGTACTAAACTCATGGAATATGTTCTATTTTTTAATTCATATGCAATTAAGCTCTTGCACATCTTCTTGACAAGCTTCCAATTATCTTTCTGACTTTTCAAAATAGAAAATGTTTGGAAGTTAAGTTACTCAATTTATAAAATATTAAAGTTATTTATGAAATCTTCCAATTTTTAGAATATAAATTTTACTTTCTAAATTTAGATAATTTTAGATTTTTAAATTATTCTATTTTAATCTTTTTTGCTGTCATCATAAAAATGCAAAGTGAGACTTAAACTATACTACACATCTGCTAGAGTAGCTAAAATTAAAAGCAAGAATGTAGAGAATAGAAATCTCCTAATTTCTGATTGGAATATAAAATATCACCATCACTTTGAAAATATTTTGGCAATTTCTTATGAAGATAAATATGCCCTTGCCATGTTAACCCAGCAATCGAAACTCTCAGGTATTTATTTAGTGGAATGGAAACACATATGCCTGCAGAGATTTTCACTAAAAATTTTATAATAGTTTTATTTTTACACACATTAGTCCCAAATTGGACACAATCTAAATGTCTGTGAAAAGGTAAGTGTATAATTATATTGTTGTATGTTTACTGAATGTAACAGAGGTTACCAACAAAATGGAACAGACTTCCAATACACATAACAATGTGTATAATCTCTAAACTTGATGGTGGATGAAAGAACCCTAGCAGAAAAGAATATGTTCTATGATTCTATATGTTAATATATAAAGATCTAGAAAAAGCCAAGCCAAAGCTAAGTGACAATAAGGAATCCAGTGATTGCTCAGGACTAAGGGGGGAATTGAATTCAATGCATGGGGTGTGAAGAAACTTTCTGGGGTAGATAAAATGTTGTATTTCTTCCCAAACAACCAAAAATCACATTACAACAAAGATATTTGTATCAGAATGTTTATTGAAGCCCAATTCATAATTGCCAGGTCATGGAAGAAGCCCAAGTGCCCATCTATCCATGAATGGATCAACAAATGGTGGTATATGTACTCCATGGAATACTATGCAGCCATAAAGAAAGATGGAGACTTTACATCTTTCATGTTCACATGGAAGGAGCTGGAAAATGTTCTTCTTAGCAAAGTATCACAAGAATAGAAGAAAAAGTATCCAATGTACACACCTCTATTATGTAACTAATTTATACCTTTTATATGAAAGCTATAACCTAATAGCCTAAGAATATGGGGAGGAGGAGGGAGAGTGGATGGAGGAATAGGGGGAGGGAGGGGGATTGGAGGGATCACTTCTGTGGTTTATCTTACAAGGGTACAAGTGAATCTTTCTAAGAGTAGAATATGAACATTTTAACACAATAACTAAGAAAATCACATGAAGGCTATGTTAACCAGTTTGATGGAAGTGTTTCAGATTGTGTGTGAAAACACCACACTGTACCCCAGAAGTGCATTAATGTACATAATTACCATTCAATAAAAAAGAAAAAATAAAAAAAGAAAAGGTCAGGAGAAATGAAAAAAAATGTTGTATTTCTTGATTCTATTGTTTACACATCTGTATGCATTTCTCAACATTCTTCTAAGTGAATATTTTTCATGGGTTTATTTTACTATGTCACTATAACTCAGCAAAGTTTATTTTAAAACTCATATTGTCTTCTCTTTTATTTCAGTAATTCTTATTGGGATCACTACTAATACCTTGGATGGGCATTAGCAATTTGTAGATGACCCTGATGCATATATTAATGAATACCACTAATAGCCCATGATACTGAAGGCAGATTAGCCCCATACATTTTCAGCTATTTCTTATAGCCTTCTACTTTCTCACTGACCACTGGCTTACAATTTCTTTAATGTTAAATATTTAATCCATTTCCATTTATTAATAATGAAGCAGATTAAAATTTTTCTTTACATATTTGCTAACCAAACTTAACAAAACAATATACTGAAATGAAACATTTTTTTCCTCTGAGTATTTCAACAACCTCAAACTTTCAAGTTCCATTATCCCTGCACAAAATGTTATTATGTTGTAATGGTATCCATTTGTAGATGTCATCCAGATTTATTTTATTCAATTTCAAAGATTGTTATTATCTTCTTCTGATGTCTAGAATTATTAGTCTTTCATACTCCCTAGACATACTCAGTATGTTCTGTGTGTGTAGCATTTTTGAAACATGTCAACCTTGGTCTGTACTACTGGAAGCATCATTGTTGTCCATATACACTCATTAAAATTGTTCTTACTTGAATTATTTGTAAGTAAGAGATGTCATTCAGTATTCCTTTTGTTTTCTTTTGTAGCTCTATTATTGTGAAGGCAGATTTTTCAAAATTATCTAGTGTGTACTTTGTATTCTCAAGAGGACAGTTTTCTGGCCATACTTGTGGTGGTTGAAATATCAAGGGATATTTTCCTGCAATTGTATTTTCAAGAGTGCTATCATATGCAATGGTAGCTAACAAAGCCACTTTAGATGCTATTCCTTCAGTTCCTATGGTGACATTTCTAATGCTTCCTGCAGTTTCTTTTCTCTTTAGTGTCAAAGAAAGGGCACTTTGACCCTCAGCAAAGAAAAGTCCTCAGGGAACCTGTGTGGATATCCCAAGGAAGGGTGCAGCTCTCCAAGGCTCCAAGCTCATAAAATCACAATACTTTTCACAGGGGGGACTTCTAGCCTTACCTTTCCTTGCACTCTACCAACAAGGAGAAAATACAGCTGAAAAAAAGTGGAAATTTTGTGTTTATCCATAGCATAGTTGCTTTTTCACAGCCAATGACATAGCAGTGAGAAAACAACTGAGTTTATTCTCCTTATGATCCAATTGAATTCAGTAGCTTCAATACACAACATGACTGAAAAGGAGAGTTCCAAGAACATTGAACTAATAACATTACATTCTTGAAAAATAAGGAAACATAATAGAAGCTGTAAGTACACCCAGAGAGATATTGACCATGTTGTTCTCACTTGTCTAGAGAGAGTAATGGAGGCATTAAATAATTATGAAACAATGTCTTTGCAATTTTTGGTATTTGTTTAGTATGAGGCAATATTTTTCCTCAGGTAGGGTATGTGAGGTAAATGACTATAGCTTACATATTAAAACAACAAAACAATTGTTTAAATGTTTGCTAAGTGTTATTTTAACTTTATATGAGTATAAATTGGTTTAGAAATACTTTTTAATATGTTATAGTTTTTTCTTAAGTTTATATACTTCTGAAGAATGTATAACCCTGTTGTGTCTAAAGGCAGAATTAGATAACCATGATTTGTTTTATAAAAAGAAAAGGGATTTTTTTCCCTTTGTATTGACATTGGCCTTCTGTATTCTCATGCTCTATTATATATATATATATATTTTTTTTTTCAAATAACATAACTTTGCCCTATATGTGTAAATTCTAGGAATGAAATATTAATGTAATATCCTTTTTACAATAATCATGAGAGACATCTTTAGCCCTTGGTCTCACATGAAAAACATAAATGTAATTTTTTGAAGGAGCTAGAGAATGAAAAATAGAAAAGAAAATTTAACAATTGCCTTAAGTACTTTCATGTAATAGTTGCTTAACTTATAAATTCTATGCATAACATTTTTTCAAAGTCTTTTAAATTTTGGTATGGCCTGCAAGAAATAAAATTTTTTGTTAACATAAATATGGCAAAAGCTTTAGTATTTGGGAGAAATAAATATCTGTGGGTCCATGTAGAGAAAAAAATAAAATATCTCCAACTATTCTAACATTATTTGACAGTTTAACTAGGTCTAAGAAATAATTTCTATAATATTTATATTTAAAAAATTCTCCACTGTATCAACAGTGAACTGTAGGGACCATTAATACCATGCCATAATGATGTAATGTATTTTTTAATAGAGTTTTATGATTCAAACCTCCATGAAGTTTGGAAACAAGAAATCTGTAGACAGAAACCCAGTTGATTCCATGTTCCATTCCGTTTCCATTTTCACTTTGCTGCAGTAGATATCAATTAGTATCTTTACACCAAAGTAAGATTTTTTTTACTTTACTAGATTTATATATGGCTATAAAAAAAATCTCATTTTAGTTTACTATCTACCTATCAACTGGATATTTTGGCATGAAGCACACATAGCCATTGGTATTCCCTGTGTTTCTAAAGACAATATTTCTGTTTAAAAAAGTTTTTCCTTGAATATTCCTAACCAATGTAGGAAAACTGGTGGACACAATGATTCTAAAAGTAAACAAGCTAAACATTAAAAAAGTTAAAAGAAAATCTATAAATGTATTTTTTCATAACTTTGAATCCTATCCTGCTTTTTGTTCTGAAAATAGGGTTACTCATCTCCCTTCAACCTCTAACTCATGACTTCAATCAGAGCTTCTGAAGGTACAATTATGGGCAACCCTTCTTTCAACAGGGTAACTTGTACAGTTGAAGAGGCCCCCAATGAACTGGCCCTTACCCTACATCATATGTTGATTTCTCCATTACCTCCTATCCCTTAGGATATGAATGTCTCATGATAAGGCAATGCTATATTATTTCATATACCCACATTTTATGTGTTAAGCTTGGACTATCGTCTCTTGAACCAGTCTCCCTGGTTCAAAAACTGCCCTGAAACTTAAGAGTGATGTAACTATGGGAAAACTACTTACCCTCTTTGTTTCCTCATTAGGAAGTGCATATTAGTAGGATATTTACTTTAGAGACTTATTTTGCTTATTTTGAAAATTAAGTGAGACAATACATAGTCAGTGTTTACAAAAATGTCAATATGTTCCTGACAGCCATTATTTGCTGTTATTATTAGGGGAGTCATTAAAATCATTAAATAAATGAAGAGGAATACTCCACTCTTGGTTCTTGCTCATTTACTATCACCTGGGTGTTGTGTTTCAGATCAAAGAAGATGAGATATGGATGTAACAAACCAAACAACAGTGACAGAGTTCATTTTCCTTGGTTTTTTGGGTGCTCCTTCTCTGCAGCTCACATTATTTGTGATATTTCTCACCATATATCTGCTTTCCTTCACTGCAAATGCCCTCATCATATTCATTGTTTTGATGGATTCTAGTCTCCAGACACCCATGTACATTTTCTTAGTAAATTTATCTTTCCTAGAAATCTGGTACTCTACAGCCACAGTGCCTAAGTTGCTGGCCACTTGCCTCTCACAGGTTGTCACCATCTCTGTGTTTGGTTGTATTGTCCAGTATTACTTCTTTTTCTCCATGGGAGCTACAGAGTGTATCTTGCTGGCAGTGATGGCTTATGACCGATACGTGGCTATATGCAACCCGCTACGCTACTCAGTACTCATGAGTCTCCAGATCTGCTTGCGGTTTTCAGCTGGTTCCTGGATTGGGGGCTTTATTGCCCCTCTCCTACCTACCATATTCATCTCTCATCTAAATTTTTGTGGCCCTCAGAACATCAACCATTTCTTTTGTGACTCTGACCCCATTTTTAAACTCTCCTGCTCAGATACATTCTTGGTGGAGGCCTTGGGCTACACGTGTAGCTCTGTGGTCATTCTAACTTCTTTCCTCCTCACTATGTCCTCCTATGGCAACATAGTGGTCACAATAATCAGGCTATCTTCTCAGGAGGCTCAGAAGAAAACTTTCTTCACCTGTGCTTCTCATCTCACTGTAGTCACCATTTATTATGGCACCGTTATTTTTGCTTATGTTCGCCCTCCAGCCAAGTACAACTTTACAATTGGTAAAGTGGTCTCAGTGTTCTACTGTGTGATTACTCCATTGGTAAATCCTCTTATATACACCCTAAGAAACAAAGATGTAAAGAAAGCTTTCAAGAAAGTTGTAGCAGAAAAGAGATTTCTTTTGGCCAGAAGCATGAAGGAGTTTTGAGATATCCACTAAAATAAATGGATTCTCAAACCACTTTAGCAAATGTTGAGTGTTGGAAATAATGCTATGAAATTAATTACTTATAATAGGGACATCTCTGTGCACTTCACAGTTTGCCTTGAACCCTACTAAAAAGTTATTCTGTACTGGTATGATTAAGAGTTCTTTGGTGTAATGTCATAGTAATAAAAAAAAATAAATGACACAAAGTCTTTGCTCACATGGCATTCACAAGTGGAAAACAGGCTATCTTAGTGACATATATTGTGATTGATAAATTGCATAACAGTAACTATGTGACCCCAAATATCTGTTTATTGGAGAAACCCAATCTGTTTATTGGGAAACCCAAACATCTGGTTTATTGTTTCTCCATGAAATAAATAGGCTAATATGAACGTGGTCCTTTGTAACTTAAAAAGTGTTCACTCAAAAAGATGTATTAAATATACACTATTCTTAATCATTATTGGTGAGTTAATGATGAATATAAATATAGCTAGCATATTTTTCCAGATAATATAAAAGCATGAAGAAAAGAACTAGATTTCAAAATATCAGCAAGGGTAACATGGCTAACAAGTCAAACAATCAAAAAAAAAAAAAAAGGACAGAAAATTGTAGAGCTCAAGAAAATATATCTAATATGGTAAAACAAATACTAACATTTATCAATTCCTATAAAATATATAGACAATTAATTCAGAAAAATGAATGTGCCTGAGAAAGGGAGTTGACAGAGAAGAAACATCAACTGGTTTTGGATTACTAGGCATCACTGTTCTATGTCAATGAAAGTTTACAGTTTTCAGTTATTTCAATGTACTATTGAAACTAAAAGCATGATAAATGTTCTGGAACAAATAAACTCCTACCCAAGAATTTTAGGAATAATGTTCTCCACATATTTGTCATCTAATTGTCATTCAAAGTGTGCTCAGTGGACCAGTGGCATCAGAGTAATTGGGATGAATGTAAAACCTCACCCCAGCTTTCTTAAATAAGAACCTCCATTGTGATAAGGTTATCAGTTGAGTAGTAAAGAGCATAAATCTTAAGAATCACTATTTTAGTCAATTAAATTTTTTCCCTTTTCATGTCAGATGGGTAATATGTTGAAGCTGTAACAAGGTTTGAGGGAGGCACATTGCATATATGTGTGTGAACATGCAATCATCATGCTTAGGAACTAAAAAAGTATCACAACTGGGACTTTAAAGAATATATTTCTTAATGATAAGAGAATAAAGTCAAGAGCTTTTTGTGCATGCCAAAATTTAATTTTCTTTTGATCTAAATTTTAACATGAGATTTTCTGAAATACATGAAAACTATGATAAAACATTTCTCAATGCTTACCCGATTTATATTTTTAAAGCAGTATATATTTGTGGAAATTATTATCGTATTTATAAGTAATGTGAAACTTAGTCTACAAAATTTTCCCTAATCCTTAATTTTCTATTGGAATATCAAAAGTTCTATACCAACTATCACAAAAATAGTAAACATTCTTTATCAGTGTACAGCTATTTCTGTGTGCCCTCCCAAATGAAGAGAGATTATCACATCCTATTAATAGTAATTTTTTTCCCCAAAATCCAAGTCCTTGAAACTTGGTAATAATAAGCATCATCATAGTTTCTTTAGGTGAGATACATTAAGGCAAATTATTATGAAATTTCAGGATGTATGCTGATGTAGATCTTCATAACATAGAGTAAAATTACAAAACAGGATGCAAATGTGAGTCATTCCACAAAAGTCCCAAGGAGAAAAAGTAAAATGAAATTCAAACAATATTTAAGTGTAAGAATTTTTGAATATTAAATTACAACATTATTGAAGAAAATTAATAAAAATGTAAAATAGACAAATACTCTATAGAGGGGATAACATTTACTTATAGGTAATACATTTATATATTTTCTACTGGCATGTTAATATATTTAAAGGTAATTTTTAAAGTATTTCTGTAATTTCTCAATTTATCTTTTAAAACATCATTTTTTGGCTGTATATTTTTCTGACATATAAATTCATAAAATAAAGGATGCAATTTATATTTTGGATAGTAACATTGTACTCATGTATGGTTGTATGTTGTTTTAAATGCTGTACTGAATTTCCTTGCATATATAACACATCAGCTTGAATTGTGGAACATAGTATGTAAAGAACTAAACTCATCTTTATTCCACCAAACTCAAAGGGAAAAACATTTTATTGTTACTTAAGTCAGAAAGTCCTCACATTTTATAATTCTTGCCACTGTGCATAGATCCTACACTCAGATTCCTCCCATACCATCAAGGCTTGCAGTGGGGAGGCTACCTGTATGTCTGGCCCTGCAGGCTGCTTTATCCTGTCCTGAAAGGTTTCTGTGGATGTTTGGGGCTACTGTCCTCCATAATACATGGAGGTCTTTTCTTTTGTCACCTAACATGCTCACAGCTTCCTGGCACATGGAGAACTCCTATTGTCATACGAATAACTGCAAAAGGATGGGTGACCTGTTTGTAATACTGTATTATTTTCTTCCATTTTCAGCTGGATAGTGCCTGCCAGGAGGACTGACCACCTGGTCCTGTCACACTGCAGTGCCTTACTCTTCCCTTTCGCATGGGGGAAGGAAAGGCCACTAAAGTCCACTTAGAAAGGGTTTTGGATATGACACTGCAATTCTTTTCCAAATAGCATTCACCAAGTTTTTAATGGCACAAGAAAAAGCTTTAATGGTAAGCATGCCATGATCTGTACTAGCAGAAGACCTGCTTCACCTACCATGCTCACTAGGAGCTTGAAGGAAGAAGTGCCTGCCACAGGGACCCCTTTCACACATGGTCCTTTTTACCTGATAAACCTGTGTACTTTTGATACTTGGGTAGTATATGTGCTTTCCTTTGTTCTTCCCACACAGATGGTTCTAGGTGTCGCGCTCTGTGCTTGTGGTCCTGGAGCTATTGCCCCAGCAACCCTGTTGGTCTGGCTTCAGCACAAGGCAGAGCTGTGTGCTTCCCACAGTGTACCCCTAAACTCAGTGAGGATCTCGCCAAAGTGTATCCATGCTGGGGTTCAGTAGTCTTTCAGATTGCACAGCATTATGATTCATGTTTGAAACTACAGATTTTAAATGCCATGTTTATTGAAAAATGCAGGGTATGCCAATTCTAGGATTTTTATACTGTATTATTATTATTATTCAATGTAACAAGAAGTAAGCTTCATCTTTACTATGGCTAAAACAGTAATAGGCATTTGAAAAAAAAAGATAAATTATTGAAAAATTAGTGAATTAATAGTATTACTTACAAATTCCAGAATTTGCGGGGTTTTAGGACATTGTGAAGCATGGAATATTAACAAAATTGTATACTAGTAAAATTCCAAATTGGAATTCTTTTTTTTTTTTTTTTTGGTCTGGTTGAGGTGCTAAATTGTGGTACACTCAGAAAATTCTACAGTGGTTGATTTTTGGTGTGCTCTGTTTCAATGCTTTTTTATCATTGCTAGTAGTGCCTTCACCAGGTAATAGAGATGTCCCAACATAAATTATTCTTCAGGGCAGAGAAGGAAGAGGTACGGGGTTTTCTAAAGGTCAGTGTTGACCAGCAGGTGGGTCAAACATGTGCCACCCAGTTGGACGTAGACATCTTCAGTAAGGGAAAGAAAATGGTCATTGTGCGAAATTCTGTTAGAAAGTCTTTATTAGCAAATTCAGGGGTTATAAATTGAAAGCAAACACAAAACCTTCAGTGTGCTTTGGGAACTACATGGACTTTCTGGGACAAGGTGAGTAAGCTGTATGAACTCTGTAAACAGTCAAGGGTGACAGGAGGACTGTACTCTGTCAGTAGGTGCCATGGGGTGATGAGGGTTAGCCATCTTATCTTCTGAAAATGTGGAAGCAAGATACTAATATCTTCTCTTTCATGGTGTAACCATTTGCTGTGAATGACACTAATAGACCTGATTGAAGCTTCTTGGCAAACCACATCTGCATGCTGTTCTGTATACTAAGGGAGATTTGAAAGGGTGGTCAGATTGGTACTCTTGGATGCAGAAAATCTGTCTTCTCCAAAAAGAAGACGAATTATAGCAATATAAATGACATGAAAAATCTATTTTCTGGAATAAATCTTTCTTATTCCTAATTGTAGGAACTTCTATTTTTACCTTCTGTTACAGTCTTGATTCTTAAGATATATTGCTACATTTGAGATGAATTCTATTTGCATGGGATACTTACTGGCATTATCTTAGTTTCAGAAGGTTGGTCTTCATTTTAAAGTTATATGTATGCTTTCCTGCCAAGGAACATTAAGCAGACAAAAAAAAAAATAATTCTGAGAAATTGAGACAAAGCAAATAGGACGGAAAATTAATTAAGATTCTTGTTATAGAAACATACAATGTGAGCAAGCTAAAACCAGTGCGCACAGAGACAGTGAGCCTGGGTGAAGGGTTATACCAATAGGACCCCAAACCAAAGAATATTAAAAAGATAAAGGGGAAAATGTCTAAGTACAAAACAGAATCCTAGAAGAAATGTTTATTTTGGTATAAATCAACCCAAAATAACGTAACATTTAAATGATTCTGAACATGTTTCATATTTCCACGTTTCCAACCACTTCTGCTTTTCGTATTCAATACCTTTGCACAAATGTCTGGATATTTTCTTTCTTTCCTGATTTATTTTACTTATTTATTTATTTATTTATTTGTTGTTCCTTTCAACCACTCTCCCTTACATTCTTATTTGTCGTAATTTATTTTTAGAATATTTATTTCTTCCTTCTTTTGTTTATGTACTTTTGTCATTTCTTCATGTTAAAAAATTCATATTCTTTCCTTTACACACTCAGGTGTATGTTTTCTTTAATTGCTATTCATTATATTACCTGTCTTTCCTCACAGATTATCCTACAACCCATCTAATACACATAATATTTTCATCATTTTTGTGAGAACCTTGGTATAGTAATGACCACTGCTGTATCCTTGTGTCCAAGTATTCCATTTAGGTTTGTGACTTTGCTTCAATATCTAAGTGTCTCCCATCATATCTAAGTTCTCCACATCTAAGAAATGCGTTATATACCTGAAATTTTTTTAAAGGGGCATTAGGAGAAAATACTTTCTCAATTGGATAATGAGGACGTGGGTATAAAACTTCTTAAGCCCATGTTCAGGAAGGACATGGTATCAAGTTCCATCAACACAGAATGGGGTGGTTGTGTGTGACTGGCTAAAGGGTGCATAGATGTTCAGGTCTCCTATTGTAGGTGACATGTGTTCACATGGAGGATGGGGCAGCCAGATTTTCCATTCGGGATAAAGGGCAGGGCCAGCAGCTGGGCCCCACTTCCAGGGTATACATAACCCTGTGATAGGCAGAAAAATCTCTCCCCTTAATCCCTGTCCAGTTTTATCCCACTTTCATCCTCTTCCTGCTCTGTGTACCCACCTCCACTGGGAGCCATGGTCAAACCCAGGGCAGTTAGGTAGGACTTACATGGTCCTCGTCTGGGTGGGCTTGAAAAGTAGAAAAGTACATTATTGTTTCTCCAAAGCTTTACAAAATCTGAATAATACAATTATGTCATATTACAACTAGGTCTGAATGTATTTTATGTATATAAAGTTATTAATATTTCCTTCCCTGTCAAGTGTGGCAATGTCTTTTTTTTTTTTTTTTTTACTTTGTGTAGGGTCTTTCTTATCAATTTCTGATCTTTGATAAAGCAGATCAAGTATTTTAAATGAAAATTTATTGATTGATTGATTGACTGGGATTCATTGAAGATACAAAGAATTAGGTACATTGATTGCATTTGTTAGATAAAATTCCTCTTATAATTGTGTCCCACCCCCAAGAGTTGTGCCATACACCATGAACCCCCATCCTTCACTATCCTCCCCTCTCCCCACTTGCTCATTCCCTTATTCCCCCTTGTATTGGGTCATCTGCAGCCTTCATATTAGAACAGAATACATTGTATTTCTGCTTCTCCATTCTTGGGATGCTTTACTAAGAAGAATATGTTCTGCCTCCATCCAGGTTAATACAAAAGATGTATAGTCTTCATATTTTTTAATGGCTGAATAGTATTCCATGGTATATATATACCATAGATTGTTAATCCATTCCTGGGTTGGTGGGCATTTAGGCTCTTTCCACATTCTGGCAATTGTAAA